GGGGGGGAAGCTGCCTGTGTAGGAGCTAGGGGCGCTGGTATGAGCAGACGCCTCTAGCTCCCCCCAGGAAGGCTCTATCTATTGGTGGGGAACAACACCTGCTGGAAATCGGGTCCAGCGTCCCATAAACAATAGCCGTTCCAATCCATCTGAGTTTTCCGAACGGCCTGCCAGCATTGATTGCCCCGAACACAGGGGATTTACTGCGCAGGTAGATGAGTACCCAAGAAAGGAGGAGAAAGGGGCCTCTTCAACCCTGCTGCCGCACGCCTGCTCTACGTGACCGTCTAGCTCCCATCCTTCTTTTTGGATGCAGCCCTCACACTCACTCTGCACCGTACAGCTGAGGATCCACCATTGAAAGACCATGAGGTGGGAAGAGGTCCGGGAACTCTGAGGGGGGGGCGTAACGGAATCGCTGCGTCCACCTTGGTCCAATCCTTAAAGCAGACAGTATAGTCTCGTTTCAAGCCCTCTTCCCCACCTTCCGGGATTCTGCCGCTCGCCCAGCGAATGTAAGAATGCGAACTTCTTTAAATCTCATAGACGACCAAGCATGACTGAGCCAAGTTGAAAGCAGAATACCAAAGTGGAAAGCACACCACACCAATAAGGAGAAAACCACAAAGAAAGCCCGACTTCCCATCTCCATCATCAATGCAACAACAATTTAGTAGCCCTACTGTAGTATGACCGCCCTACTGTACTTCCTACTACCTCTACACACACTACCCCTCACTCTCTGTGCACGTGTCACTCGCTCGATGCTGCTTGAAGACTCTGCTCACACAGGCTTCCTCTCCCAGCACCAGGGAAGAACCGCCAGTCCCTACTGCCTTGTTTCTTCCGAAACCTCCCACACTCCACCACTCTGCTTCCCTGCACGCAGCTATGGCTGGCGCTCACTTACAGTCACCGCAGCTGTTCTTCCTCCTCGGGCGCTGCTCTTGTGGATGCAGCTGCCCAACAGCGCTGCCGCCTTGTAGCAATCTGCCCGAATGTCTCTCCCCGGTGGCCTCCTCCCTTTTGTCCTGTAGTGGAGGCCGCGTCCAGACCCACTAGGCAGTGCCTGTGGCCTACTGGGACAGCATCGAGGTCCCAGCCTCTGTAACGAACTTGCAGGCTGGGTCTACCAGTTAGTTACAGCGGTTGGCTCCTGCGGCCAGACCCAAAAGACCCCACCCGGCCTTCACTTAGGGCCCATGACATTTCTCTGGCCTGCCTTCACTTAGGGCGAACCAGACCTCTTTTCCAGCAGCTGACTCGGGGCTACGGAGGCCTGAAAGCCTCATGTCTTTTTTTTTTTTGAAAGCGCACCACACCAATAAGGAGCAAACCACAAAGAAAGCCCAACTTCCCGTCTCCATCATCAATGCAACAACAATGTAGTAGCCCTACTGTAGTCGGCTGGGAGTAGCAAGAAAGACTGATAGACAAGCAGTGGTGGAGCAGTGGCATATCCTTCCTCCTCAAAGGAAGTAATCAATGCTGCTGTTTCGGGGTCCTTCAACCGTAACGGAAGGAAGCGTAGAGTGTGTTGTCATTCTAAGGGACGCTCGACCCGATTTCCTGCTATTGTAATGACAAAAAAAAAAAAAGACGTGAGGCTTTCAGGCCTCCGTGGCCCTCGCCAGCTGCTGGAAAAGAGGTCCAGTTCGCCCTAAGTGAAGGCGGGCCAGAGAAATGTCATGGGCCCTAAGTGAAGGCCGGCTGGGGTCTTTTGGGTCTGGCCGCAGGAGCCAACCGCTGTAACTAACTGGTAGATTGCATTGATGATGAAGACGGGAAGTCAGGCTTTCTTTGTGGTTTGCTCCTTATTGGTGTGGTGTGCTTTTGGCTTTGGTATTCTGCTTTCAACTTGGCTCAGTCATGCTTGGTCTTCTATGAGATTTAAAGAAGTCATTAACTAAGGACCACTGTGAGAGCTGTATGCGAGGAAACTTGCACATACAGTTCGGGAAAGGTTCTCTGATGCCTGCCTATCTATGAAGGCATCAGTTGTTGTGCCATTTCACTCAAAGATTTAGTAGGTTGGGTAGCCTTTGCAATAGCAAAACTCATCAAAAGTCATTTCGCAAGCTCCAATCTATTCATGGGGAGCAGCACGTGGTGGGAACCGGGCTGGGATGATTCAGGAACAATTCAGGATGATTTAGATAATAAGCTAGAGATTGATGCTGACTGACTACTCAGAATACATATCTACTCAGAACTCACATACTACCCTAACTAACCCTAATCTTAGGTATCCATATCGACCAGCCAGTCTACCGAGCCAATACTGTGTACCAACCAAGCCTCTACCCGGTCTCACACCCCAATCTAGCTAGGTCAGGGGGCAGCGCCACCCACCCCAGCGCCGACTGTCGCCGGCCAGATTGTATCCTTTGATCAAGTATTGTGATTTCCTTCCACCCTCAGCAATCCCCTGATCTCTATCCAAGGCCTCAAGCTCCTATGAAGGTTACAGGGCGATGCCCCAGCGCCAGCCAGCGTCGTTCTGGCTTCCACTCAACCTGGGCAAGAACACAATAAAAGTTCAATTAGGAAATCAGCTAGACTAGAATGACACCTAAGAATTTGGATCTGACAATAGTGGGATCCTGAGCAAACAACCAGTCTGATGCTGATGATGATGTTAATGATGATGGTGATGATGATACTTGATGTTGATTGACCCTCCCCTGTCCCCCCACCTCTTTTCCCAAGAAGAGGTTAACAGAGCCCTAAATTTTCAGGATTTTTTCAGGGTCATTATAACAAACGTCCCATACCTTTTACACCAGACTTGTCACCAGTCCATAGAGCGCACACCAAATAAACCAACAGCAAAAAAATTCTTGGAAAAATAAAAAAAATGATCAAAGGGGCCTTAAACCCCAAGGCAAAAGTGTGTTTTCATGCAAAATTCACTCTTTTCAGCTTTCAGGATTTTCACCTAATAGGCAATATCTTGGAAATTGAGTCAAATGGACTAGGCTACCAGAGTGGCCCAGGGTCACTTGCCCGGCCGGGCCAAAAACAGTTAAAAAAATAAAAATAAAAATAATATTTTTAAATTTTATTTTATTTTCTAAATTTGGTGCAGCATTTCGATGTGACCCTGGGGCAAAAGTTGTTCAGTTTATTTTTCTGCATAACATAGTTTGTTTTCGGATTTTTTTGATTTTTTTTTTGATTTTTTTTTTTTTTGCTGGGACCTTCCCTTGTCCTTGCACGGGCTGGCCACCGGGACCCGGGCGGCCCGGCTGGTAGCCTAGCAAATGGAGATATATTAACATCCCTTTTTCTCCTTCCAGAGGATGATAGAGTAACCCCCCATCCAGAGGATGAAATCAGGTGGGTAACTGTGGATCAAATTTTCAGGATTAGAGTATTACAAACTAAAATTGAATGGTTGGCATTCAGACCCAACACTCCCATATCACACCTAGCAATGGACCCCGCATCATGGAAGTGGGGATCACAACTCAAAAGGGATAAGAATTACACCAGATCCCTCCATACCCTGTCAGTCAAATCAACATACAGAATGCTAAGACCAACAATCAACCTCAGGGATAGGGTGTCCAGCAGATGGATGAGGCATCTTAATCTGGACATAAATGATCTGAAGCACATTGAGTGGTTTCGCAGCAAGAACTTTAAACCAGCCAAAATTGCATCTTTACAATGGCAGATT